CTTCATCAAACTTGGTCACCTTGTTCATCAGTATAAAGTCTTCCCTGAGTTTGAACAACAGATGTCCTGTATGAAAATATCATGCAAAAATTGAGAAAAACTGATAAAATATTTCGACTGTTTCTACTTGACTGATCACTGGTGATACACATCAAAGGTCACTGATCTCAGTGGAAATATGCATTGTTGTATGTGTTCAATGAAGCAAATGATTTATCTTGTAATAATATCCTTGGTAATGTATCTCAGAATCCCTTACTGGGTTTCAAAACCAACTCATGGAGAGATTGCACAGTCTGATACACATTTGCAAACCTACCAATAAATCTTTACAGAAAACAAGATGTCAGAAAATCAATATAAGCACTGCTATGAACTGGGTGCCAAACTTTGAAGCTAATAGAAAATCTGTTTAGTTCAAAGTTATCAAATCAAAAACAATACATAAAAAATACATAAAAAGCAAAACATTTCATCCACATTTTAAAAAGAAAATTGTTCTAAAATATATGTATTCTGTATTTGACAAACAGTTCATTCGACAAATGAAAACTCACAGGAATATGTTTCAGCTATTAGAACAGAATGATAGAGTTTTTATAATACTAGTTTAAAAACTCACTTCAAACAGTGTTTGAAGATGTAGGTTCTCAGGAGGCAACAGTACTGTTGACTTCTCCCTCCACTGGACACCAACTAACTATTTAAAGCAGAGCTTGCAACATGATAGCTATTCATAAAGGGTGTTTTTTTTTTACTTTTCATATAATACAGTAGTCACACAATGAGGCAGTTCATATTTGTCTCAGTGAATCATTAATTTTTGACAGACACCTGTACAAAATACTTGGACAAAAGCCAGCTAAGATTTTCTGTTATCTTGCATGTTTTATGAATCTATTCACGTCTAAATGCAGCACTTTTTTTTTGCAATGAGGCATTTGTTTTTATACTAAAATATCTGAATTACTTTGAATAAAGCTGGAAATTATGTCCCTTAAAATAATTAAACAAATAAGGCACCAATGTTTTTGTAAGATATTTACATCTTTAAAGGACATTCGGTAGACTGATTCCCCACTGTTAGTTCAACCCCAAAACTTTTTTGTATTCAAAATTAATTATGACAATGTATATTTATATTGAAACAAACTATGTTAAAGGGAATTATATTATATAACAAAGGGCAAGGTCACCAGAGTTCAACTATGTTTATATTTAATGTCTTTTGACCACAGATAATGTAACAAAATATATTATTTAGTGTCAAATAAAATATACTATACTATACTATACTATACTATACTATACTATACTATACTATACTATACTATACTATACTATACTATACTATACTATACTATAC